AGGAGGAGGACGACGACGAAGAGGAGGAGGCGGAGGAGGAGGAGGCGGAGGATGAGGAGGAGGTGGAGGAGGAGGAGGAGGGAGGAGGACCCCCTCCCCCTCCGACTCATGGTGGCGGTGGTGGTGGTGGTGGAAAACACGCCCATTAAAAAGAACACCTCTGCGGGACAGCGGCGCCGCCCCCCGACAGGGGAAAAAAAACACGTCGCCGCGCGACGCCTCCCGGCTCCGCACCGGCCCGGCGGGCGTGCGGACGCGCGCGGCCCAGCCGGCCCCCCTTCCCCTCCGTTGAATGGGCCCTGACACACACACACACACACACACAAATAGATACACACAAACAAAAGAATTCCTCATATTTTCACACATGTTCTAGGTTCTTGTCTTCCCCCCCACTTGGCCCTCCTGATCCGTGGCGCGCCGCACCCCCTCCTCCTCACTTTCCTCCCCCTCCTCACCCCTCCCTCCTCCTTTCCATCCTCCTCCTCCTCCTCCTCCTGCTCCTCCGGTTCCTCCTGCTCCTCCTCCTCCTCCTCCTCCTCTCCTCCTCCTCCTCCTCCTCCTCCCCCTCCTCCCCCTCCCCTCCCCCTCCTCCCCCTCCCCCCCCCCCTCCTTCCTCCCCTCCTCCTCCTCCTCCTCCTCCTCCTCCTCCTCCTCCTCCTCCTCCTCCTTCCTCCTCCCCTCCTCCTCTCCTCCTCTCCTCCTCCCTCCTCCTCCTCTCCTCCTCCTCCTCCTCCTCCTCCTCCTCCCCTCCTCCTCCTCCCTCCCTCCCTCCCGCCCTCCTCCTCCCTCCCTCCCTCCCTCCCCCCTCCCTCCCTCCCTCCATTCCCTCCCTCCCTCCCCTCCCTCCCTCCCTCCCTCCTCCCTCCCTCCCTCCCTCCCTCCCTCCCTCCCTCCCTCCCCCCTCCCTCCTCCCCCTCCCCCCTCCCCCCTCCTCCTCCTCCTCCTCCTCCTCCTACCTCCCTCCTCCCTCCTCCTCCTCCTCCTCCTCCTCCCTCCTCCTCCTCCTCCTCCTCCTCCTCCTCCTCCTCCTCCTCCTCCTCCTCCTCCTCCTCCTCCTCCTCCTCCTCCTCCTCCTCCTCCTCCTCCTCCTCCTCCTCTACTCCTCCTCCTCCTCTCTCCTCCTCCTCCTCCTCCTCCCTCCTCCTCCTCCTCCTCCTCCTCCTCCTCCTCCTCCTCCTCCTCCCCTCCGTGGCGCGCCCTTCTCCGTGCCCGACGTCCCCCCCGCCCCTCGAGGTTATCCCCTGCGGGGCCGCCCGCCCGCGCCGCGGAGGCGAGGGCGAGGGGGGCGCCTCGGCTCGGTCGGCGGCGGCATCGGGAAGAAGAGGAGGAGGAGGAGGAGGAGGACGACGACGAACAGGAGGGGTATAAGATGAAGGAGGAGGAGGAGGAGGAGGAGGAGGAGGAGGAGGGGCGAGGGGGGCGCCTCGGCTCGGTCGGCGGCGGCAGCGGGCAGGCTTCTGTCGGGCGTGTCCCCCTACAGGGGGATTTTCGACGAAAAACAAAAAAATACCCGAAAAGATACCCCCCAAAAAGGTCAAAAAGTACCAGAAAAATAGTCCCCAGATTATGTTTGGAGCATTTTTGGAGTATTTTTGGTGTATTGTTTGTTTTTCGTCGAAAATCCCCCTGTTGGGGGACAAGCCCGACTTAAGGGAAGGCGGGCCGGAGCAGAACCGAGCTCGAGCTCGACTCGGATCGATCGGCTCGAGCTCGAGCCTCGAGCTCGAGCAGGATCGAGCTCGAGCAGCATCGAGCTCGAGCTCGAGCTCGATTCTGTGCCGGCGCGGAGTCGAGCTCGCATCGGGTCGGCCGCGCCAGGATGCACACAGCAGAGCGGCGCGGGCGTCGTGCCGTAAAACGGATCGCGAGGAACGTCGGGATCGAAACGGATCGGGCCGGTCGGAGTCAATGTCGGATCGGCTCGGTCGGATTGAAGTAGACCTTTGGTGGGGGAATTCGTGGGTACTGACACCACTACTCTGAAGGGGCCCCAGGACACACAAATAAATACACACAAATAAAAATACTCCCCATATTTTCCCATATGTTCTGGGTTTCTGTCTTCCCCCCCCCACTTCCCATATTTTCCTATACTTTCTGGGGAATCGAGGATTAATTGTGTCTGTGTGTTTCTTTTCCTCCTGATACTCCCCGGACCTCTCCAAGGGTGCGATCTGGCCAGAAGTCCGAACCGAATCCAGCCACGGCGACGAGAGAAGGGTGGCGGTATCTGGAGGCCTCCCCAATGGGGTCCAAGCAGATGGGTCGGAGCATCGCGCCCCATCCCCGATGCACCGACGGCGAAACGCCGATGCATCGGCGATGCACCCGCGATCCATTGGCGACGCTGGCGATGCATCGGCGCCCCCGGTGTGGATGAAATCGGGCTCCACATCGAGCCGCACCGCCAATGCATCGGCGTTGCGGCGCGATCCTCCGACCCCCACCGACTCCGACAGCATCTCGGAGGCCTGGAGACCCTCGTCCCCCCAATCCACCATCAGCCATCCACCATCCACAATCCACCCTCCTCCTCCTCCTCCGTCATCCTCCTCCATCCTCCTCCTCCTCCTCCTCCTCCTCCTCCTCCTCCTCCTCCTCCTCCTCCTCCGCCTCCTCCTTCTCCTTCTCCTCCTCCTCCTCCTCCTCCTCTTCCTCCTCCTCCTCCTCCTCCTCCTCCTCCTCCTCCTCCTCCCCCTCCTCCTCCCTCCTCCTCCTTCTCCCTCCTCCTCCTCCATGCGCATATACAGAAAGCTTGACGTAGCAGATCAAAGGTGTTTTCACGATGCCTGGGTAACACGCTCACTCCGACCAGTAGAAAATTCGGCACCTGATCCAGCCGCCGCCATCGTACCGACGCTCCGCCGCCCTGCAATATCTCCAGAACGATGTGTCAAAGATGTTGTCACGATGGCCGGGCAACGTGCTCACTCCGACCAGTATAAAGATTGAACCAAAACGGCTACGGTAACGACACACGTTCAGTTACACTGCTTCCCCAGTTGCCACGACATGTTGTAACACTCCATCCTTGCCCCCTCCCCCCCCCTCCATCCTCGTCCTCCCCCTCCCCCTCCATCCTCCTCCTCCTCCATCCTCCTCCTCCTCCTCCTCCTCCTCCTCCTCCTCCTCCAGCTCCTCCTCCTCCTCCGCATATTCCTACTCCCACTCCCTCCTCCTCCTCCTCCTCCTCCTCCTCTCCTCCTCCTACTCCTAACTACTACTACTACTACGACTACTCCTACTCGTAACACTGTGCCATGCCCTACTCTACTCCTACTCCTACTCCTACCCATCCTCCATTCCTCCCTCCTCCTCCTCCTCCTCCTCCTCCTCCTCCTCCTCCTCTCTCTCCTCCCCTCCTCCCCCTCCTCCCCCCCCCTCCCCCTCCCCCTCTGGCTGGGGGGTCGCTCCCCCCGGCGGCCGGTCAGGCCGCCCCCGACGGGCGCGGCAACCCCGGCAGCGGGCGGGCTCAGAAGTACTCCCCAGAGTCGCTGCTCTCGCCCTCGGCGGCGGCCGCGCGCGTGCGGGGCCTCCCCCGCAGGCCTCTCGGGCACACAGTCCTCGGCGCCTCGGCTCCGTAGCCAGCCCCTCGAGCGCGAGCGCGAGAGAGAGAGAGAGCGCGAGAGCGAGAGAGCGAGCGAGCGAGGACGAGGTACGCAGACAGAAAGAGAGAGAGAGGGAGAGCGAGGTACGTGGAGAGAGAGAGAGAGAGAGAGCTGTCAAAGAAGGAGAGAGAGAGAGAGAGAGACACAAAAGGTAACAAAGCGACGGACAGGCAGACAGACAGACAGACAGACAGAGAGGGGGGGGGGGCTGAGAGAGAACGCGGGAGAAGGAAGGACGACGGCGACGAGCACCACGGCGACGACGATCGCGACGGCCGTGCCGCCCGCAGGCGGCGGCGCGTGGCCTCGCCGGTCTCCTGCAGCCGCTCCAGGACGCCGGGCGGCCGTGCCTCCTCGGGGGGGGGGCGGGGGCGCGGCGGCACGGCGGGGGGCCCCGACGGCGACGGGGGGGCGGCCGGGGGCCGATGCAGCAGAGGCGCGCCAGGTATAGGGGGCTCCGGCGCCCAGCCGAGAGATCCTGAAGGGGCCCCAGGACACACAAAGAAATACACACGAATAAAAGGATGCCCCATATTGTCCCATGGTTTCTGGGCTTTTGTCTTCCCCCCCACGTCCCATACTTTCCCATCTTTTCTGGGGGATCGACGATGAATTGTGTCTGTGTGCTTTTTTCCCTCCTGAGATCCGCGCGGACCTCCAAGAGTTTAATGCTTAATGCTTGTGTCGTTGTTTGTTCCACGAGGCATGCCCCCCTGAGCTCCTCCCCCCCCGGAGGTTTGCCCCGACGAAGAGGGCGGCGGCAGTGGCCGTGCCACGCCCGGGGGCGGCCGGGGCGTCTGCCGCTGGGGCGGCGCGTGGGCGAGAAGCTTGAGAGGCAGCTTCCGGGAGGCCTCCATAGGAGCGAGTGGGGGCCGTGGAGGCAGATTTTGGGGGGCCGTCGGGCCGGATGAGGCCAGAATGCGCCTATGTGGTTAGGCCAGAGGGAGCCGCATTGAGCGGCCGAGACCTCCCGGCCTGACACATATCCCTGCCCCTATGCCTTGGCATCACCTCACCTCGCTGCCGAGCTCAAGGATCCCCTCGGTGCCTGAGGGCACGCATCCCCAGGCAGGGTCCTCGCCCCTGGGCTCGCCGACCTCAAGCATCGGGACAGACTCCGAGGCCGGCGAGAGTCGCCACGCCCGAGACGCGGCGGCGACAGCGGCGGCGACGGCGACGACGGCGGACGGCGACGGGGGCGACGACGACCGACGGCGGCGGCGGCGGCCAGAACGACGACGACGACGACGACGGCGCCGCCGACGACGACGACGACGAACACGGCGGCAACGGGCAACGGGCAACGACTACGGCGACGACGGCGACGACGACGACGACCACGACGACGACGACGACACCCAGCGCGCCGCCGAGCGCCGAGCGGCGGCTACGGCGGCCAGCGGCCCCCGGCGGCCGGGCTGCGCGGCGGCGCAGCGGCGCGGCGGCGCAGCGGCGCAACAACCAGCCGCCGGCGGAGGGCCCCGAAGGGCGCAGCGGCGCGGCGGCGGGCCTGCGGGCTCTGCGGCGCACCGCCCTCGGGCGGCGGCTGCGGCGGGTCGGCGGGCCGGAGCTGCGCGGAGGCGGCGATGCGGGCCTGCGGGCTCGGCGGCAACTCGTGGGGGCCTCCCGTGCTTCTCCTCCTCCTGCTGCTGCTCCCGCTGCCGCTCCAACTCCTGCTCCTGTACCTGCTCCTCCTCCTGCTCCTGCTCCTGCTCCTGCTCCTGGTCCTGCTCCTCCTCCTCCTCCTCCTCCTCCTCCTCATCCTCCTCCTCCTCCTCCTCTTCCTCCTCCTCCTCCTCTTCCTCCTCCTCCACCTCTTCTTCTTCTTCTTCCTCCTCCTCCTCCTCCTCCTCCTCCTCCTCTCTCCTCCTCCTCCCTCCTCCTCCTCCTCTGTGTTGACCCTGGGCAAGCCTGACTCCTCGGATTGTGGCGTTCTGCTCCTCCTCCTCCTCCTCCTCCTCCTCCTCCTCCTCCTCCTCCTGCTCCAGCTCGATGTTCCTCCTCGTGTTGGCTCTCAAGGCGGCCGCCCCGAGCCGACCTTCGGTGGCAACTCATGGGTGCCTCCCACACTATCTTGTTAGCCCTTGCGAGTCGACGCTGGCCGACGCCATGCCCGAGACGCGGCGGCGACGGCGACGGCGGCGGCGGCGGCGACGGCGACGACGACGACCGACGGCGGCGGCGGCGACGACGACTGACGGCCGACGGCGGCGGCGACGACGACGACGGCGGCGACGACGACGGCGACGATGCGGCGACGACGACGACGACGACGACGACGACGACGACGACGACACCCAGCGCGCCGCCGAGCGGCGGCGGCGGCGGCTACGGCGGCCAGCGGCCCCCGGCGGCCGGGCTGCGCGGCGGCGCAGCGGCGCGGCGGCGCAGCGGCGCAACAACCAGCCGCCGGCGGAGGGCCGCGAAGGGCGCAGCGGCGCGGCAGCGGGCCTGCGGGCTCTGCGGCGCGCCGCCCTCGGGCGGCGGCTGCGGCGGGTCGGCGGGCCGGAGCTGCTCGGAGGCGGCGATGCGGGCCTGGGGGCCCGGCGGCAACTCATCGGGGCCTCCTGTGCTCCTTCTCCTCTTCCTCCTCCTCCTCCTGCTGCTGCTCCCGCTGCCGCTCCTGCTCCTGCTCCTGCTTCTCCTCCTCCTCCTCCTGCTCCTGCTGCTGCTGCTGCTGCTGCTGCTGCTGCTGCTGCTGCTTGCTGCTACTGCTCCTCCTCCTCCTCCTCATCCTCCTCCTCCTCCTCCTTCTCCTCCTTATCCTCCTCCTTCCCTCCTCCTCCTCCTCCTCCTCCCTCCTCCTCCGCCTCATCCGCCTCCTCCTCCTCCTCCTCCGCCTCCTCCTCTCTCCTCGCTCCTCCGCCTCCTCCTCCTCCTCCTCATCCTCCCCTCCTCCTCTTCCTCCGCCTCCTCCTCCTCCTCCTCATCCTCTCCCTCCTCCTCTTCCTCCTCCTCTTCCTCATCCTCCTTCTCCTCCTCCTCCTCCTCCTCTTTTTGTTGACCCAGGGCAGTCGTGACTCCTCGGATTGTGGCGTTCTTGCCCTCCTCCTCCTCCTCCTCCTCCTCCTCCTTCTGCTCCTGCTCCTGCATCAGTTCGATGCAACTCCTCGTGCTGGCTCTCGAGCGGGCCCTTCTGTGGCAACTCATGGGTGCCTCCCATGCAATATTGTTGGCCCTTGCGAGTCGACGCTGGTCGACGCCAGTCGACGCGAGACCGGCGCGGAATCGGCGCCGATCTCATCGATGACCAGCGGAATTTCCAAGATATGCAATGCTTCCATGATTTGCTATCGAATGCGGGGGGCGACGCTTGCGGCTGTGGGAGTTTTGTTGCAGCGGCCTCCCAAATGGAATGTGCTGTTCATCTCCCCCCCGCAACGTCCGTCACCAGGGGGGGGGTCGCGCCTGCAAGCGCCACAGCCCAACGCATGCCTGCGGGCACCACAATATGCCTGTCAGCACCGCGCCGTGCCAATGGGGAACCAGCCACCACCACCACCACCACCACCACCACCACCACCGCCACCACCACCACCACCACCCCGCGTACGCACGTTCGGTACTGTCACGGTGAGGGGGGGGGAAGGGGAGGGGGGGAACACCCCCGTAGCGGACGTTCTGGGCCCAGCAAAAAAAAACAATCTCATGGGGTCCGAGCAGATAGGGTTGGAGGATCGCGCCGCATCGCCGATACATCATCGATGCATCAGCGCCGTCAGCATGGAGAAAATTAGGCTCCGCATCGAACCGCATCGCTGTTGCATCGGCAATGCGGCGCGATCCTCCGACCCCATCTACTCGGACCCCACTTGGGAGACCTAGATGATGGGCACCCCGCATGGGTACGGAAAAGTGGGTACGCTGCCCTGAAGCACAGATTGGCCAAAACTGACAGCGGCGGCTGTCGGGCTGGCGACCTGCTGTCTCAAACGACAACGCCCGCGGCGGCACTGACAACGACCCCTGCCCAAAAAGGACAGGAACTGCTGTTGGTCTTCGTCCCCGTTCTTTCGCAACCCCATTCGACCGTGCCGAAAAGTAATTGGGCGTGTTCCGAGGATCGTTGGGACACAGGGGGCATAATTTGGGGGCATCTCTGGACCCTCTTGGGCCTAGTGGGGCCTTTTTCGCTGCCAGGGCAAGATTGCACCCTCGAACATCTGGCCGAAAACGCACCGCAAAAGAGGCCGAGGGGGTGCTTGGTGAGGGAAAAACACGGCGGGCAATTGTCTGCTGTTTCGGCCTCCCGAGGCCTGGTGTCGATAGCTCCTGGGCTCACCACGTGAAAAAACGTACGCCGCTTCGAGACATACCTCCGTCGTTGGAGCCAGCTGGGGCGAGCCTAAAGGCTCGATTCCACCTGGTGGCGAGGATGACGAGGAAGGTGCGGAGGAGGACGACGAGGAGCGATCCCTTCCCTGCCTTCTCAGAAAGCCACCTCCCTCGCCCCACCCCTTTGAGCGCGTCGCCAGGGGAGGTCGCCTCGTTCTCAAGCCTCTGGAACTCGTTCATGCGGCCGTGCACCTGGGAAGCCGCCTGGTCGGCGAGGCGTTTCTGGTCGCCCAGCTCCTCGGAGGGGACGAGGGCTGAAGGTGGTGTTCGGAGATCGTCGCGAAATTCGGCTACTTGGACGACGACGAACGGCGCTGACGCCGTCGCCGACGGCAGCGGCAGCGGTGGCGGTGACGTCGACGTGGACGACTACGCTGACTACAACGACGGCGACGTTGACGGCGATGTTCGACTGCGACGAAGACGCCGGCGACGACGCCGACGATGCGCACGTCGTCGTCGACGTGGACGGCGGCATCGACAGCGACGGACGACGAGAACGTTTCTCACCTTCCTGTGGACGTCGACGACGACGTCGAGGTCGACGACGACGATGGCGTCAAGGAGCCCCTTCCCCTGAGGCGCACGGCTGATTACGTCCCGCCTGACAGCCCCAACCCAACTCAAGGGGCCCAGGGACACACAAATAACTACACACAAAATAAAGGATTCGCCATATTTGTTCTATATTTTTGGGGTTTTCGTCTCCCCCCCCACTTCCCATATTTTCCCATATCTTCTGGGAGTCGACGATTCATCGTGTCTGCGTGTTTTTGCCCCTCCTGATGATTGCGTCTCGCCTGCCAACCCCAGCCCAACCCGGTGTCCCAAGCTGCGGTGGAGAGCACCGGGCTCTCGCCGCGCGCGCGGGAGAGCGCGCGGGGGCAACCTCCACGGCGTGGGTCCCCGGTGGGGGGAGAAGGAGAGGCGGCGGAGGGAGGAGGCGGCGGATGAGGAAACGGATCAATACAGTAGGGGCGACGGACCTACTGAATGTGAGGAGGAGAAAGAGGAGGAGGAGGAGGAGGAGGCGGAGGAGGAGGAGGAGGAGGAGCAGGAGGAGGAGGAGGAGCAGGAGGAGGAGGAGGAGGAGGCTGGAGGCTGGAGGAGGAGGAGGAGGAGGAGCAGGAGGAGGAGGAGGAGGAGGAGGAGGATGAGGAGGAGGAGGAGGGGACCCCGGAGCTCCGACGGGGAGGTCTCTCTCCACGGCGTGGGTCCCCAGTGGTGGGCGCCGCTGCCCCCCGGGGCCGGTGCTCTGCGTCCCGCAGCGCTCCTCGGCGCTCCCAGGGCCCAGGGTCAGGCCGGGCCGGTCCCCCCTGCAGGAGGATTTTGGACGAAAAATGAGAGACATGCCCCAAACATATTCAAAACATAGCGAAAAATTAGGAATACCCCCCAACAAAAATCCCAAACATAACCAAACATGCTTGAAGAAAATAATCCCCAGACTAGGCCGGGCCGCTACCCCTGGACGAAAAATTATAAATACCCCAAACATATTCAGAACATAACCCCAAAAAAGATGTCAAAAAATGTCCCCAGACGATTTTTGGACTATTTTTGAAAATATTCCTCCTGCAGGAGGATTTTGGACGAATAATGGAAAAATACCCCACACAGATTCAAAAAATAACCAAACATACTAAAAACATAAACAAAACAAATTGTCCCCAGACTATTTTTGGCCTATGTTTGAGTATTCCTCCTGTAGAGGGACAGGCCCGACTTAAGCCCAGGGCCCAGGGTTAGGTCGGGCCGGTCCCCCCACAGGAGGATTTTGAACGAAAAATGAAGAATACCCCAAAAGTATTCAAAACATAACCAAAAACAAGATTGAAAAAAATGTCCCCAGACTATATTTGGACTATGTTTGATTATATTCCTCCTGTAGAGGGACAGGCCCGGCTTAAGCCCAGGGAGGGGCCGACGGAGGCCAAAGATTACCAGAGTCCTCCCAGCGCGGTTCGGTTCACGAGGAGAGTGCGCGAGGAGTGAGAGTCGGAAGCCTGGGCAACTAGCGAGTCCTCATCTCTACCTCGGTCCGAACCTAGCCCCGTCCTCCTCCTCCTCCTCCTCCTCCTCCTTGCCCCGCCCTCCTCCTCCTCCTCCTCCTCCTCCTCCTCCTCCTTGCCTCCTCCTCCTCCGCAAACTGGAGATTCGACCCTGCCCCCCCTGGCCGCGGACGACCGCCGGGTAAACTCAGCAGGGCGGGGTCCGGCCCTCGCCAGAAGGCTCCGTGGACGGCTCCCGGAGGCTCCACGGCGGCCAAGAAGGCTACGAGAGGACCCAACAGGCTCTGAGAAGTCCCTAAAAAGGCTTACAGGAGGCTCTAAGAGGGCCCCGTGCGATCTTCCGGGCGCGGCCCAGCCGACCCCTAGCAAGCCGTCCCCTTCCGTGACGTCACCCTCGCCTGGCAGGCTTCCCTCTGGCCGCACACATGCGTCGCGGGGCGAGGCGAGGGGGACGTCACCGAAGGCAAGGGCTCCCAACTTCGCGCTTCGCGCTGCGCGAAGCGCGAAGTGCGAATAAGTTCCGCTCTCGCGCCGCCCTCCAGAGGGGAAGAGGAGGAAGAGGAGGAATCGGAGCCGAACCGCGAAGCGCGAATCGCGAAAAACTTCGCGCCCTCGAGGGCGCCCTTGGGAGGGGAATCTTGGGCCTCCAACGTCGGGGGCGTCCAAGAGGGGGGCGTCCAAGAGGGGGGGGGGAATTCATGGCTGGCGGCACGTGCGCGGCCCAAGCTTGGGGGGGGGCCCGGGCCGCAGTAGAACAAGAGGAGGCGCCAAGAGATCTGGGGAGATATCATGGCCCCCGCCATGAGACTCCCCCCCCCTAGTCATCACCCCCCCTCCTGGCCGCGCCCGACAACAGCCTCGAGGAATAAAGAAGAAAAACCACATGAACGTAAATTCTGGCGCTTCGCGCGGATTTCTTGGATCTGCGCTGGACCCCACCTCCCTAGCGCCTTGAACGCGCCAGGGGCGGCGCTGGAGGCGTCGCCAGAGGGGCCCGGCGCGGATCCAAGAAATCCGCGCGGAACGCCAAAAGTGTATGTTTATGTGGAACCGAACTCTTTACATACACCGAAGAATTTTCCGGCTCGGCACCGAAACTCGCACAGGAAAGCGGATCCTGGTGCATACGGGATCCTTGTGTATACATTTGTCGCTGTTTCCCCTGGAAAATGCGGAACCAGTATACACCACGCGACCCGGACGTCGTCCCCGACCCTCAAAAGGTCCTGGGATTGGAGCTCCTCGATGGTCGACCTCCGCTCTGGGGGCCCTTCCGAGGAGCGAGGCTCCGGGCTCTAATGAGGGCCCCTGGGACACACAAACAAATAGACACGAATAATAGGATTCCACATATCTTATCATATTTTCTTGGTTTTTGTTTCCCCCCCATTGAATTACTACATTTTCCCATCTTTTCTGGGGAATCGACGGTTAATTGTGTCTGTTTTGTCTTGTCTCATCCTGATCTGAGGAGGGCTCCTGGGCCCCTGGGGGCCCCCATGGGGCGACCTCGTCGTCGCGGCTGGGCCCCAGGTCGGCAGCGTTGCCGTCTGCAGGATTCGAGCGCTCCCTGAGCAGCGCGGATCAGGTCGGGCACGTCCTCCTACAGGCGGACCTGGGACCAAAGGTGAGCAACGATTGGCAAAACGTGCTCAAAGATAGCCGAGAGATCCTCCCGAGGCTACGTTTTGCGTTCCTTGAGTGTTCCTCCTGTGGAGGGGCACGAGCGGCTTCAAACCTGGATGTAGCTAGGGGGCCCGTGTGGTTGCTGAGGCCGGTGGGCGGCCGGCGAGGTCCGGAATCGGTGGCTCGCGGTCTCTGGTCGTGGGCTCGTGGTCGTGGCGCGTGGCCTTCGGTGGATGGGAGAATGTGTGATACCGTCGGGGCGTTGACCTAAGGAACCCGAAATAAGGAACGAGGCCCCTTTTTCCCATAAGTTGAGCTTCGATGTCCCATCAAAGCCCTAAGCGAAACCAGAGGCGAACTACAAAACAACTAAGGAACACCGAGCCCCTCCCCAACGAAAAGGGTTCCTTCCTCAGCGCCCCGACTGTATGGCACGGCAGGGCTGAACCTTACCCCGTGTGTGTTCGCTTTCGTGTTGTTTTTCGTTTTCCCTCGTGTTGTCTTCAGTCCGCCTTTACAGCCAAACAGAGCCGAAACGAAAACGGCCCACGAAATCGCCAGAGCATCGTTTAGATCCACCCCTGTGGCATGGTATGAATTCCTCCCCAGAGGCCCCCGATGGCTTTCCCAAGAGACCCCAAGAAGCATCCTTGTCAGCGTCAGCGTCGTCGTCGTCGCAGCGGCCGCCCTCGGTGTCGTCCCCCTTTAGGATCGGCGGCGCCGGCCGTGACGCCTGGGTATAGACTGCACAGCACGCAGTCTTCTGCTCTGCTCGCTAACGCAAAAGAACAAGCAAAAACGCCACAAACGCCACAAACTAGGAAAAACTCCAAGAAAAGAACAAAAGAACAAGAATTGTTGGCGCTCCGCGCGGATTCCTTGAATCTGCGCGGGGCCCCCCTCCCTGGCACGCGGAGCGCGCAGGGGCGGCGACGGAGGCGCCGCCTGAGGGCCCAGCTCGGCTCCAGGAGATCCGCGCGGGGCGCCACAAGTTTATGTGCATGGCGTCTTCTCCTTCTTCGAGCCAAGGGTGTTATCAGGGAGGACGCTCGCGCATCATGACGAACCAACAACACACACACACACACACCCATACCCATAGGGGGGTCGGAAAGGGCTACGGGTGCGTGTTGTCGGATGGGGGTCCCCGCTCGAACGGGAGCGTTCCCTGGGGTCCGACAACCCGCACCCATACCCATAGCCAGTCCTCCTCCCAACGACCCCCTTCTGGGTATGGGTGTGTGTTGTTCGTTCGTCACATCAGGACCATTTTGCCGTTCGTTTCCAAGATGAGGCCTCTGGAGACCGGTCCTCTCGAGAGCCGCGGCCCCGGCACAGCCGTGGGCCCCTCGGACGCCGGCAGACACGAAGGTGCTCGGCGTCCTTTCGGAAATAGTGTGGGAAGTCCTGGACCGGATGCAAGGGCTCCTGGAGGGATCTGGAGGAGGTGTACGTCCACGTAGGTGAACGTTTTTTCTTCTATTCGGCGTGTCGGCATGGAGCGCGAGAGCGGGGAGGGTGGGGGGGGGTCTGGCTCCAGAGCTCCGCGTAGCGCGACTGTTTGCAGCCGTGCGTGCTGTGGGGGAGACTCCAGCAAAAAAACAGCAAAGATCGACTCAATGGGGAGGGCCCCAGGACACACAAATAAATACGCACAAATAAAAATATCCCCTATATATTCCCATATTTTCTGGGTTTTTGTCTTCCCCCCCAATCCCCGTATTTCCCCGTATTTTCCTGGGAGTCGACGATTAATTGTATATGTGTGTTTGTTTCCCTCCTGATCAATGGGGGGGCAGGGGGTGTGCGAGGGCTCGCGCCGATCGGCAGAACAATGAATACGAAACCGACGACTGGTCGTTGTCGGCGCCATTGTTATTTTCCTGCTAGGCCCTTGAGGACTCAGGGGCCCTCTCCTCCTCCTCCTCCTCCTCCTCCTCCTCCTCCTCCGCCTCCTTGAAAATTCCAACTGCAGAGAACGACGAATGGAGGACGTTTCGACCCGCGGCTGCAATTTTCCCAATCGCGCCAACCTCATGGTTCAGCAGCATCCCTGTTTAGGGACCCTGAGAGGCCCTAAGACGAAGCCAGGACGAGGATAAAAACGGGTGGGGATAAATCGAGAATCTCTGAGGTCCGGCGGCTCTGGAGGATGTCTCGGGCGCCGCGGCCTTCTCAGAGCGTTCTGGAACGCTCGCAGACAGTTCCGGAACGCTCTGGAAGGGAATATCCTCGTCCTAGTCCTCGTCCTAGCCCCCTCGTGGCCATGGCCGGAGGCGGCTCAGAAAACGACGCCAGGGCGATGCCCAAGAGAAGGGGCCAGGGACTGGTTGCACCAGGAGTCTAGCTTGGAGGGGTGGGAGGTAGACGACGACGACAACAGAGGCGCCGATTTGTTTACTTACGTGCGTGCATCGAGAGGTGGCTCATGGCCCAACACGTTTTTGAGGCTGCTCTATCTCTGGACGATCGCCAAGCCTGGCTAATAACCAAACATTGAAAGCGGAGAGAGAGAGAGAGAGAGAAAGAGAGAGAGAACGTGGGGGGAGCGGCGCCGACCAGAAGCGACAAGAAGATTAGAGAGCGAGCTCTGGCCGATCATTCACCAGCCTGGTAAACCTGGCCATCTGTGGGTACATGACTCTCCCACCTTCAAAGCTCCTTCGATCTGGTCGTCCCCATTTCCAGGTGGATGCGACGACGACGACGACGACGACGACGACGACGACGACGACGACGACGGAACGACGACGACGACGACAACGACGACGACGACGACGACGACGACGACGACGGCGACGACGACGAGGCGGGCGAAACCTGTGAGAACCGATGGACTCCCTCCGAAAAACATCTGACCCCCACAAGGACGAAATCATGAAGACCGTCGAAAGTGTTCACCTAACTTGCGAAAACCTCCGAACACGTCCGAAGGCGTGGAAAACTATGGCGTCGCCGACGACATCATCGTCGCCAACGACGACGACGATGACCACGACAACGGCGTCGACACCACGACGAAGTCGACGACGACGGCAGTGACGCCGACGATTGCGCTGGAGACGGCATCGCCGACGTCGACCACGACCACGAAGATGGCGACGACGACGGCAACGTCAACGACATGCCCAACGACAGCGGCGACGACGGCGGCGTCGGCGGCGGCGACGACCTCGGCGTCCTGCACCCTGCGCTCGGCACCCTCGTAGCCTTGCTGCGCCCGGGCCAGGGCCGCCGCGGTCTCCCGCAGCTCGCCCCGCACCTCGTCGCCGGCGCCGCTCGAGCAGGGACCGACTGCGGAATGGACCTACCCCAAAATCAATCGACTCTGCGCAGAACATATATCTATTTTTGTATGTATATATATATACATATATACATATTTATATATAGGTATAAATAGACATAACTATACATGCGCACATCTTTGTCATATTGATTTATACTTGTGCGCAGATTCGACGCACAAGCCAAGTTTGGGGCAAGCCAAGTCTGCAGTCGATCCCCCCCTCGAGCCATGGCCGCAGCCGCCGCCGTCGCCGTGGCCGCCGGACGCCTTCGAACACGGCCCCCCACGCTCAGAGGCCCCTTCGGGCCGTGTCCCGCGAGGCCTCCGCGGGTCTGCGGCGGTCCCCGGGGGGGCTGCATCCTGAAGGGAGGCGTGGTCCGCGGGCGCCAGCCCCGCTGGGCTTCTTCGATCCGCGCGAGCGCCGGGTCCAGGACCAAAACCGCTCCGCGGGCGAGCGAGCGAGCGAACCACGCGAGCATGCCTGTCGGCTGCTCGGCCCTGTGCAGGGCATGGGTGTACAAATCGACTACCAGCCAGACAGCATATATGAAACGTGAGCAGAAAAAGGACTGCGCCCGGGGAGGAGCCCTGGAACCTCAGTGGGATCCTCTGGTACAAGAGGACAGGACGAGGTTTGGGGCCCAGGCTTGAAGAAGAACGGGGGCGGGAACGACGGGCAGGAGGATCACGGAATTGTGGGGGCGGGGAGCCATCGCGGCAGCAGCAGCATGGAGAAGGTTACAGGGGGTGCGAACGGTAAGCTGTCTAATCTCAATCTGCCGCGAGTACCCACTATCCTGGCCCCCCCGCAGCCCTCGAAAGTGGCGACGGCTTCGCAGATCGCAGCCTCCCAGAGATGGCGGAGTCTAATCTGAATCTGCGGCGAGTGCCCACTATGCTGCGCCCCCCGGCAGCCCTCGAAAGTGGCGAACATTTCGCAGATCGCAGCCCCCCAGGGATGGCGAGGTCTAATCTCAATATGCGGCGAGTACACCCCTATGCTGCCCCCCCCAAGCAGCCCTCGACAGTGGCGACGGCTTCGCAGATCGCAGCCCCCCAGGGATGGCGGAGTCTAATCTGAATATGCGGCGAGGACCCACTATGCTGGACCCCCAGCAGCCCTGGAAAGTTGCGAACGTTTCACAGATCGCAGCCCCCAGGGGATGCCGAGGTCTAATCTGAATCTGCGGCGAGTACCCACGGTGCTGCCTTTCCCCCCCAGCAGCCCTCGAAAGTGGCGACAGCTTTGTAGATCGCAGCACCCCCAGGGGATGGCGAGGTCTAGTCTCAATCTGCGGCGAGTACCCACTATGCTGCCCCCCACGAAGCCCTCGAAAGTGGCGACAGCTTCGCAGATCGCAGCCCCCCAGTGATGGGGGGGTCTAATCTGGATAGGCAGCGAGTACACACTATGCCGCGCCCCCAGCAGCCCTCGAAAGTGGCGACGGCTTCGCAGATCGCAGCGCCCCAGGGATGGCGAGGTCTAGTCTGAATCTGCGGCGAGTGTCCATTATGCTGGTCCCCCAGCAGCCCTCGAAAGTGGCGAACATTTCGCAGATCGCGGCCCCTTGGCGAGGTCTAATCTGAGTCTGCGGCGAACTCCTACTATGGTGCCCCCCCAGCAGCCCTCGAAAGTGGCGACGGCTTCGCAGATCGCAGCGCCCCAGGGATGGCGAGATCTAGTCTGGATCTGCGTCTGGTACCCAAGATGCTGGCCCCCCAGCAGCCCTCGAAAGTGGCGACAGCTTTGTAGATCGCAGCCCCCAGGGATGGCGACGTCAAATCTGGATCTGCGGCGAGTACCCACTATGCTGGCCAGCCCAGCAGCCCTCGAAAGTGGCGACAGCTTCGCAGATCGCAGCTTTCCAGAGATGGCGGAGTCTAATCTGAATATGCAGCGAGTGCCCACTACGCTGCGCCCCCCAGCAGCCCTCGAAAGTGGCGAACGTTTCACAGATCGCAGCCCCCCAGGGATGGCGACGTCTAACCCGGATCTGCGGCGAGTACCCACTATGCTGGCCACCCCAGCAGCCCTCGAAAGCGGCGACTGTTTCTCAGATCGCAGCCTTCCAGAGATGGCGGAGTCTAATCTGAATCTGCAGCGAGTGCCCACGATGCTGCGCCTCCCAGCAGCCCTCCAAAGAGGCGACAGTGTCCCAGATCGTAGCACTCCAAGGATGGCGAGGTCTAATCTGCACCTGCGCCTGGTACCCACAATGCTGCCCCCTCAAGGATGGCGACATTTTCACAGATCGCAGCCCCCCAGGGATGGCGAGGTCTAATCTGAATCTGCGTCTGGTACCCACGAGGCTGGCCCCCCAGCAGCCCTCGAGAGTTGCGACATGTTTGCAGATCGCAGAACCTCAGAGATGGCGAGGAGGAGGTAAAAGGCAACAGAGGAGAGCGCGAAGGAAGACAGAAACGAAGGGAGAAGGAGGGAAGAGAGGAAAAGGGGGAGGGAGGAGGACACGACCACAGTGCTCTATTCAAAGCGAAAACCCAACGCAGGCGGGGTGAGAATGACTCCTCCTTGTCGCATCCCGAGACGCGTCGCGTTTCGCCTGAGGGTTCTTCACCATTGGGGATCCCGGAGCCTGAAATCTGCAAGAGCTTAGCGGGTGGAGGGCGGCCCTTTTCAAAATGTGGTTCGCGCCTTAGCGCCGCGCTAACTCGTCTGAGGAATTCGCAAGAGTGTCACGGGTTGAGGGCCGTCCATTTCAAAATGTGTGGCTCTCGCCTCAGTGCCGCGCCCATCCTTAGAGAAGAGGATTGGGACCCATTGTGTTTACCCGAGACGTACCCGACCCCTGTTTTTGGCGAGGCGATTGTATGAACGCTCCATACAAAGGAGCACATCGCAAGACATGCCCAATAGGGGGCTACGCTCACCTCAGCCGTGCCCGCGAAAGTGGCGACAGTTGCCCGGTTCGTCGCCTCCCAGGGAGCCTGCGAGGACTCGACTGGATCCGCGTGGCCCCCGACTCCGCTGGACCTCCCAGAAGCCCGCGAAAGTGGCGATAGATGTGCAGCTCACAGCCAACCAGGGGGCAGCGAGGTCTAGGCTGGGTCCGTTGACGCCCCTACTCCGCCGTGCCTTCCAGCTCACGAAGAGTGGCGACAGTTGCGCAGTTCGCAATCCCTCCGAGAGCTGCGAGGTCTAGTCTGGGTCCGTTTACTCCCCTACTCCGCCGTGCCTCCCAGGAGCCCACGAAAGAGGCAATGGTTGTGCCATTCGCAAGTCCCCCCCCGGGAGCTGCGAGATCTAGACTGGGTCCGTGTAGTCCTCTACTCCGCCGTGCCTCCCAGGAGAGCTCACGACAGTGGCGACAGTTGCACAATTCGCAGCCCCGGTCAATGTACTCCCCTACTCCACCGTGCCTCCCAAGAACACACGAAAGTAGCGACGGTTGCGCAGATCGCAACCTCCGAGGGAACTGCGAGGTCTCATATGGGTTCGTTGATTCCCCTTACTCCGCCGTGCCTCCCAGGAGAGCTCACGACAGTGGCGACAGCTGCACGGTTCGCAGCCCCCCCCCGGGAGCTGCGAGGTCTAGTCTTGGTCCGTTTGCTCCCCTACTGCGCCATGCCTCCTGGGAGCCTCCGAAAGTGGCGACAGCTACACAGTTTGCAGCCCCCCAGAAAGCTGCGCGGTCTAGGCTGGATCCGTTTACTCCCCTACTCCGCCGTGCCTCCTGGGAGCCTTTGTAAGTGGCGACAACTGCACAGTTCGCAGCCCCCGAGAGAGCTGCGAGGTCTAGGCTTGATCCGTTTACTCCCCTACTCCACCGTCCCTCCCAGGAGCTCACGACAGTGGCGACTAATGCACAGTTCGCAGCCCACCAGGAAACCACGAGGTCTAGTCTGCATCCGTTTACGCCTCTACTCCACCGTGCCTCACAGAAACTCACGAAGGTGGCGACAATTGCGCAGTTCGCAGCCCCCCGAAGAGCTGCCAGGTCTAGTCTGCATCCGTTTACTCCCCTACTCCGCCATGCCTCCTAGGAGCCTTCGAACATTGCGACAACTACACAGTTCGCAACCCCCCAGAGAGCTGCAAAGAGCTTCACAGAAAGAGGGTCGTTCATTTTCAAAATGTGTGGTTCTAGCCTAAGCGTAGCGCCCACTCGTGGAAAAAAACTGCAAACACTTCACAGATTGAGGGCGATTCCTCTTCAAAATGTGGCGCTCGCCTTTGCGCCACGCGCTTTCGTCTCAAACGCTTGCAACAGTTTCAGAAATTCGTATGGTGGAAGTGCCAGGAATAATGTCCTGGCACGAAGTAGGATTATCCGGACGCAACAGTCACGTTGATCCGCCGTGTGCAATCCCCAGGAATGGTGGTCTGGCATGCTTCATGACCGCCAGGACGCAACAGTAACACTGATTCGCGGCCTTGAGCTCCCAGGAATGGCGATGTGGCACGATCAAAGGTTATTAGACGGTTGTCATTCAAAGTGGCACGTCTCCCGATGAGCACCTTTTAGGAGGGAACTTGCGGAAACGGTTAATTACAACACCTTTGATGTGCCTTGGGTTGCACTGGTCCCCCCCCTCCTCCTCCTCCTCCTCCTCCTCCTCCTCCTCCTCCGCCTCCTCCTCCCTCCTCCTCCTCCTCCTCCTCCTCCTCATCCTCCTCCTCCTCCTCGCTCCTCCTCGCCTCCTCCTCCTCGCTCCTCCTCGCGCCTGCTCCTCCTGCTGGCGCGACTCCCAGAGCTGCACGCGCAGCTGCTCCAGCGCCGCCACCGTTGCGGAGTCCGCGCCGTCGTCGCCGCCCTGCGCCACGACGGCCCTGGCCTCGCCGCGGCGGGCGGCCGCGTCGTCGCCGCCGGCGCTGGCATCTCCAAAGGCCTCCCAAACGGGGTCCGAACACGGCAGGTTCGCGCGGCGTCGGCGCGCGCAGAGGTTCTGGACACCACGTCGATCGTTCAACCTTGAATCGATCGCAACCCGAGTGTTCAAGGCCGAATTCCGTCGAGGACAATGGCGTTACCGTGTCCCTCGGTGCTTCCGCGACGCAGAATTCAACCTTGAACGCCTTTGGCGGCGTCGCCGGCGCGCCAACGCCGCAAGAAGAACCTCAGAATGTCAGGAGGCGACTCCTGGGAGATATTCGTCAGAACGATTCAGGGCTATCAGACCCGGTTGAGGGGCCGTTAGGCCAGACTGGGCCAGATTAGGCCTGAGATCAAGCTGGATTGAACAGGAGTAAGCCAGATCGCGCCGCATCGTCGAACGTTTGCCTAAGCAAAGACGATGCATCGGCGACGTCGGCGATGCATTCGCTACGCCGGCGGGGGCTCCGCATCGGGCCGAATCGCCGATGCATCGGCGATGCGGCGCGATCCTCCGACGCCATCTCCCAGACCCCCGAAGTCATGATTTTTTCACAACATCGACCCCCAGAGGTCTAGACCCCTTCCCTGGGACTAGCTTCTCGTCCCGAGTTGTTTTTGAAGATCCCGAGGCCCGGCGAGGCCCCCCAGAGGCTGAAAATGACGAAAAACCTTCCGTCGTGATTCTTGTTGCAACGCGAGAGGGCCTGGGAGGCCTGGAGTGCAAAGACCACCTGGCGCCATGGAGAAATCACGACGATAGGTGTTCGGCCATCACCGGCCTGCGAGGGCCCACCGGGCCTCGGGCGCTTCGATCTCAAGACGGCCCAGGACAGCAAATCCGTCCCCAAGGAGTGGGGGTCGGACCGCCGGGAGGCCGCGCCGTGGACACAAGACGGCGTCGGACGTCGAGAGTTCGGGTCAAGTCGGGCCTGTCCCTCTACAGGAGGAATACTCAAAAACAGGATAAAAAAAGTCTGGGGACGAGTGTACCTGGGACTATTCTTGAGTGTGTTGGAGCATGCTTTGGCTATATCTTTCGTGCTTCCTCCAAAGGTCCGCCTGCAGGAGGACCCGCCCGACCGCAAGCTCGCGCCGCGGCAGCTGGGCGCGGCTGGGAGACCTGGGCAGAAAGGGCCCCGGGGACGGCCCGGGGAAGCCAGCTCTGGGCGTCGACGGCGTCGATGTCGTCGTCGTCGTCGTCGTCGCTGCGCACGCAGGTGGTGGCAGCTCCCTCGCCCTCTCCAGCGAGCTGCCCCCCCGCGCCGCGGGGCAGGGAGGAGGAGGAGGAGGGCGAGGAGGCGGCGGAGGAGGAAGGCCAGGAGGTGGTGGAGAACGAAGGCCAGCAGGGACAGAGGATGAGGGTGGGGAGGAGAAAGCGGGAGCGAGGGGAAGGGGGCGCAAGGGAGGAGGAGGAGGAGGAGGAGGAGGAGGAGGAGGAGGAGGAGAAAGAGGAGGAGGAGGAGGACGAGGACGAGGGGGAGGAGGAAGGCGGAGAAGGGAGGAGCTGCACGGAAGAGGAGGAGAGAAGCGAGGAGGGGGGAGGAGAGCGAGGAGATGATGACGATGATGCTGCGGAGGAGGCGGAGCTGGGATAAAGAGGAGCGGGGAGGGGAGAAAGGAGGAGGGAGAGCAGAAGTAACGAGAGGGGAGAGAGAGCACGCACAGAGAAGGAGGAGAAACCAGGAGGGGAGAAAGGACCGTGCACGCCAAAGGTGCACTGGCTAAATGGCGAGACGGTCGTGGCACGCGGCGCAACATGCCGTGAAACCACAGCGACGACGAACACAGAGCGAGAGGACAAACCGAGGCACCGGGGGAAACGAGAAGGAACCCTGACGGCTGCCTGCGGCACAGCTGGGCGCCGGATTTTCCTACACGAGACCGCAGAAGCAACGACGACGACGACTATATACGACGATGATGATGACGATGGGGGAGAGCGAGGGAGGGGGAAGACGGGAAGACCACCCAAGGGACCAAAAAATAGGCGGGAGGAGGATAGATCTTGAAGTCCGGAGAGCCACGCCGTCGTCGACCGAGCCGCGTGGAGCAGAATGCGCAGGAGGGGGCCCCATGCCCCCGGCAGCTGCGCAGGTGTGTCGCTACATCTCTTGCCGCCAATTCCTTGGCATCGCTCGGACGTCCATTCCCCATGCAGATTTCGGTCTCGTGAGTGTTTTGTTGTTCGATGATCCGGGATGCTCCTCGATGGTCGTCGCCGAGGGAAGACGTACACGTCCGAGCGATACCAGGCAATTCATCCGCGGACGCCCCCGCTTTCCATGTCTGGGTGGCTACGCCGTGAAATGCGGCACGCCCCAAACACGCCCGTCGTGTACGGAAGCATGCATTGCTCAGACGGCAGTCCCCTCCGACTGCGGTTACAGCTGCCAATTAGATTTAGGTCGGGCATTCCTACAGGCGGATGTCTCTAGAAAAATCAGAAATAGTCAAAAGCATTCAACAATACCCAAAACTGATCAGAAAAACGTCCCCGGACTATTGTTGCATTATTTTTGAACACTCCTCCTGTAGAGGGACATGCCCGACTTACGATTGGATCAACGCGCTTCAGGTTTCCCGTACGTGCCCCATCCTGTGGACCAGCCCCTCGAGGAGGGGAGGGCGGTGGGGGCTGGGCGAGGAGGGGAGCGAGACGAGGGCGGACGCCTACGTGCGCGCTTTCTTATATTCGGCATCTCGGCATTGGGCGGAAAAGTGGGGGGGGACGGGGAGGGGGGGTCTTTTGCAAAAAAACCCTCGGGCGAAGGACTGCAAAAAAAACCTTCGGGTTTGTTGCAATCCTTCGGGTTTTTTTGCAATCCTTCGCTCCGGACCTCTGCCTAGTGCGACTGCTTGCAGCAGGGCGTCCCACAGGGGGCAGAAGCTCCATGCCTGCGTGAAAAACAGGCGCCCGAAGCAGCCAAGACCTACTCTCCATGGGGTTGGAGGGGGGGGGGGAGCGAGAGCCCGCGCCGAGCGGCAAAGCAAGGAATACAAAAAAACGGTCACTTCCAGTGCACGTCGGTCGGAAGAAGTAGGTAGAAACATGAAGTAGGAAGGCCCTCCCAGAGAATAACAAAACACAGCAAAAGCACGTCCCGGCCCTCCCAGGCCCTCCCAGAGAATAACAAATGAAGTAGGGTCCAGGCCCTCCCAGAGAATAACAAAACACAGCAAAAGCGTGTCGATTCTTGAAGTAGGAAGGCGCTTGAAATAGATTGGGATCTGGGAATCCAAAAGTACCTACTTTCAACGACCGGCCTGTAAACTTTCAGCAGCACTGTTTCGCCGATCAGGTAGGTGATGGGGGGCCCGCATGATCCTGCGAATGGAAGCGACCAGGAACAAACACCTAGACTGGTTCAAGGCAGCTGTGAAGACAACACGACGATTTGCGAACAGCGCAACATTCAGCTATCAAATGGTTGCAGGCCTTGGATAGATTGTCGCATTCTGTCTTCACCACGACCAACTGGCGCGACAATCCTGATCCAGTTGTCCGCGGTCGTCGCTGCCGAGGTGTAGCAGACTTTTTGGCTGAGGCGCAGGGTTGCCGTCGGACTTTGTCAGGCAGGCATCGACGCCAACTGTCAACGCATCAATGTTGCGCCAATTGAACTGCAACCCGTGCTGGAGCTCAGCTCGATGTGTGACCATCCTGCACTCCTCAGCGAGGCGCGCCAGTGTAGCAAGCAGAAATGTCGTCCGCGTGAGCGAGCTTGTGGACGTGAAGTTTTGGGTCCAAGTTCGGACAGCGAACGTGCTTGGCATAAATAGCCCGATAGACCTCGACAAACTGATCGGGGGCGCCACATCATCCCAGGGAAACTGATAGCGAGTCATGAGTCAGGGCCAGATGCTGTCGAATGCCTTTGCCCAATCAAGGCTAGCAACGTGAACGTTTTCTTACCCGGCGTTTCGACATTGGGCGGAAAGGGGAGAAGGGAGGGTCTGGCTCCAGACCTCTGCTTAACGCGACTGCTGCAACAGTGCGTCCCATGGGGGAGGGACTCCACCTGCCTGAAACAGGCGCCACAAACAGCCAAGATCTACTCCACGGGGGGGGAGGGGGGATGCGAAGAGCCGCGCCGATCGGCAGAGCAATGAATCAACAAAAGCGGTCACAGGCTGCCAGACTTCCGTCCTTCTCTCCGCCCCCGAGGCGGACAACCGTCAAGACCTTTCGCCGCGCGCTTGTCTGCCTTTCCGGCTCGGGGCCACTTGAGACGACGCCCGCTCCCCCGCCCAGCCAGCATTATGTCGGGCGTGTCCCCCTACATGGGGATTTTCGACGAACAAAAGGGCAACAAAAATAGTCAAAAAATAGTCCCCAGACCATTTTTGGATTATTTGTTCACTATTTGGGGGGTACTTGTTTTATTTTTCGTGGAAAATCCCCCTGTAGGGGGACAGGCCCGACCTAAAGCCAGCACCCGCTCAGCATCGGCCTCTGGACCCCCTCACGGGTTCCGCCCCTGGCCATCGCTCGGACGTCCGTTCCCTGTGCTTTTTTCGGCTTCGTGCGTGGCTTCTTCGCCAAAGGATCAAAGGTGCTCCTCGATGGCCCTCGCCGAAGGAAAAATGCACACGTCCGAGCGATGCCAAGGCCCTGCCTCGCCTCTCGACGCCGCTCGGCCCGTGGCGCGGCGACACGAAGCCTCCGTCGGGGGCGGCCACGAGGGCGGCGTCCAAGCGGGGGGGGGGGGCGCCAGTCATGGCCGGCGGCATGCGCGCGGCCCACGGGGGGGGGCCAGGGACGTAATGAAATAAGAAGGGGCGCCATGAGAAGGGGCGCCAATCATGGCCGGCGGCACGTGCGCGGCCCAGGGGGGGAGGGCAGGGACGTACAGGGCAGCTTCTAATACATAGGATTTAAGCATATAAGATTTTAAATACATGATGAATGTATGAATGAAGTTATGCATGAGCTCATCGTTGTTTTTAAGACTAAATCCCTGCACGTTTAACACATGATCCGCACGCGGAGCATGCATTAAAAACGGCACTGTAATGAAATAAGAAGAGGCGCCATGAAATCTGACCCCCCCTGGTCATCACCCCCCTCTTGGCCGCCCCCGACTCCAGGAGGACCAGGAAGGACGAAAAGTGAGAGGCAGCGCCGCCGGTGTCTCGACGGGCCCTCCTCACAAAAAAAAATCCCACCGTGGTTGTCATGCCTCGCGCGGCGCGAGGGGGTCTCTCGGCGACTCCGGAAGGTGTGGTGTGCAAAAGATGTGGCTTGCAACCGGAACCCTGGGGGGCGACCATGGGGAAACCAAAAGGCACCGATACCGCATTATACTCCCCGGTCCTCTCCCGGGGCGCGTTCTGGCCACGAGTTCCAGGCCAAGCCAGCGGAGGCGACGAGGGCCTCCCTGGAGGCCCCCCCCCAAAAGAGGGGAAAACGCGGGAAGGCCAGCGGGGATCGATGCCTTCTACTCGCTCGGAATCCTGGGAGGGGCGCCAGCGCGGCGCCCCCCCCTCCAGCCTCGGCGACGCGGATCGCGAGCCACAGCAAGGCGTACATGTCGGCCAGAAAATGCAGGAGGAAGCATGAAGCAGGGAGGCGGATACAGCAGACGAGGCTCAGGCCCTCCTGGGGGCCTTCCCTGGGCCTCGGGACCGTCACGAACGACTCGGGACGAGAAACCGTTCCTGGGGTGGAGAAAATCGGACTCCACATCGGCGATGCATCGGCGATGCGGGGCGATCCTCCGACCCCATCTCCCAGACCCCCGACGTCGTGATTTTTTCACAACGTCGACCCCCAGAGGTCTGGACCGCTTCACCAGGAACGGTGTCTCGTCCAGAGTCGTTTTTGACGGTCCCGAGGCCCGGCGAGGGCCCCCAGAGGCCGAAAAAACTCAAGACCCCTCCGTGGTGACTTTTTCAGAGCGCGGGGGGGTCTGGGCTACTCGGACCTCGTCTGGGAGGTCCAAAGTAACCACACTCTTTTGTGGCAGCCGAGTCTGCGAGGGGCGGGGGGGGGGAGGCCGGCAGCGCTGTTGGGGCCTCCCGCACCTCGGCCTCGAGGTTGCGCTGCGCCCGGGCGGCGTTCTCGAGCAGCTCCTCCCCAGGGGGGGAAGACGGAGCCAGGACGATAAAATCGGGTGAGGATGGATCGGCTTTCGAATGGACCCAAATTGGGGCCAAACCCTGGGATAAACGATGGGCGTCCATCCTCGCTAGGGGTGCGTCAGAATGACCCCTATTGGGTGTATCCCAGTGCTTCCTCCTTGGGGTGCATCCTGGATGCTGCTGGGGCTTTTCAGGGTAAGACGACGCCAGGACGAAGATGAAATCGGGTGAGGATCAAGCGAGAATGTCTCAGATCCGCCGGCTCTGGAGGATGTCTCGGTCGCCGCGGCCTTAGAGCAATCCAGACCGCTCTGGAAGCGTTCTGTAGCACTCTGGAGCGGATTTTTCCTCGTCCTGTCCCCGTGCGACTCCTCCACTCCTCCCCGAGGGGGGCGAGGGGCATCGCGGGGAAGGGGCCGGCTTGGGCAGAGCCCCCCCTCGATTTATATGTGTTGTTTCCCCCCCCGCCCCCCCGCTTTCCCCAGGATCGAGCTTCGAAAACCGAGGTTCGGGTGCGAATCTGGGTGCCGTCTTGGGCCTCCTGGGAGCGCCCGCTGTCGTGCATCAGAGCTTGGGGGTGACATCGAAGTTCAATATGATAGATACATATCAGTAGAAACTGAAAAGAAGCGAGGAATAATAATAATAAGAACAAGGAGAATAATAATTTGAGGGAGAAAAAGGAAAATAGCAGCAATAGTAAAATTAACGATAATAGCAATAATAACATTAAAGAAACGGAGGCCCTCGTCCTCACGTGACGGACACGAGAAACGCCCTCGTCACCACGGCCGGATCTCCCTCGAGATTCTTGGCAGAACGCGCTCCAGGACAGGCCCATGGGCCACGGGGTGACGACGTCGGAAGGCGGAGTTGTTCCATCGATAGCAAATGTGACAACCGCAGCAGCATGCGGATGTCGAGCTGGCGCGGAGAGGGCAGGCAGCCATGGAGGTTGCCCCCTGCCGCGCTCACAAGACAACGCTCTCTCACAACAATGCCCAACACGGGCCCGCCCCTTGAAAATCTGGCCGTGGTCCGGTGAAGGGCTGTAGACAGCAACGCGTCGACTGTGAAAAAATGCAGTAAGCATGCAAGCCATGCAAACATCACAAAGGCTATTTCAGCTAAGTCTGCTACACGCGCACGCTTTGCACTCAGGGGCACGTCGTCGGTCAAGTGCATCCTCCACTTCCCCTCCGCGTCCTCCTGTCCGTGGAGCAGGCTCTGTGATCAGAGAAGACTTGTCAACCCAACCTTCACGAGCACAGAGCCCGCGGATGGGAGCGCCCTTGGCCCACGTGCCCCACCTGAACCGACAGGGTTATCCCTACCACCTCAATGCACTACAGTCCTTCTCCCCCTCCTCCTCCTCCTCTCCTCTCCCTCCTCCTCCTCCTCCTCCTCCTCCTCCTCCTCCCCCTCCTCCTCCCCCTCCTCCCGGCGCTCCCGGGTGATCGTGGCCACCTCGCCGTGCAGTCTCTCGGCCTCGAACCTCGCCGGCGACGACTCGCCGTTCACGGTGACCTCCCGCGGCGGCGGCGCCGCGGTGGCACCGCCGCCGCCGTTGCCGTCGCCGCCGCCGCCGCCGTCGCCCGCGCCGTCGTCGTCGTCGTCGTCGTCGTCGTCGTCGTCGTCGTCGTCGTCGTCGTCGCCTTCGTCGTCGTCGTCGTCGAACATCGTGCTACCTTACTGCAGGAGGCACAAGAGCGATGGACGGGGGGCAGGAGGAGGAGGAGGAGGAGGAGGAGGAGGAGGAGGAGGAGGAGTAGGAGAAGGAGGAGGAGGAGGAGGAGGAGGAGGAGGAGGGAGGAGGAGGAGGAGGAGGAGGAGGAGGGAGGAGGAGGAGGAGGAGGAGGGAGGAGAAGAAGGAAGGAGGAGGAGGAGGAGGAGGAGGAGGAGGAGGAGACGGATGTTCCCCCCCCCCTGCCCCCGCCTGGTTCGGTTCGAGGCTTGGGGGGGGATTCTGCATCCGCCCAGTTCCCCCCTCTGGTCACAACCAGGGGGGGGAAGTCCGCCGCCCCCCCCCCGAGTCGGAGAGGGGGAGGGAATTACACCCCCCCCCCCCGGTTCGATCTGGGGGGGCCCCAAGCCCCTGTCAAATAACCATATGCCTCTCATAATCACAGGGTGGGGATCATAACGTTCGGGGTTCGGGGGGGATAGTGATGTTTGTCTCCCAGTAACTCGTACGCACGTACGTACAATGATATGTTAGTATGAAATACTGGTATCCTGCTCGCCACACGTTCGTGAGCTGGGAAAGTTGAAATGGTGCGAATCCCATCGCCCTGCCACACGTTCGTGATGGTTTTGCGACTCAACATAAGAGGATAGCAACTTCGATTCGCACTTTCCCCTGAAATGCTGAAGTTCGGCCTCGCCGTCCCTTTCCCCCGACCAACTCTGTCTTGGCTCGGGATAATCAACTCTCAAGGATCAAGGGAGGAACGCTATATTATACGGGGTGCTGAGTTACATGGACACACAGTCCAAGATCCTTCGAACTTCTGATACTTCATGGACTTCCTGCATCTCCTCAGTTTGCCATCTTTCCGCAGCTGCTCCATGGGATCAGCAGTGATGTGTGCTTGTGCTTCTCTTTCCCCGCCGTGTGCTATGTGATGTGGTGTGCCAGCGTTTTTGTTTGTAGGGTGTCAAGTCGGGTGCTGCTAGAAGTACCCCTGGCCCAAGGTGCCCCCAGCTCTTCGCCCCATCTTGGAGCCCCTGGGGCCCTCGGCGCCTCGTGAGGGGTGCTTTGGAAACCGCTTGGGCTGCCCCGAGAATCCCGGGGGCACCTCGGCCCAGGGGCACTTCTGGCAGCACCCGATCGAGGCCACCGCCCCCCATCTCGAGGCGATCCGGAGCGTGCACCGCCCCCCCTCCTCCCAAAGCTCTCCTGGGTGGCCCGAGGCCCCGAGGCCTTTTTTTTCCACGGGGCTCTATATCCAAGGCTCTCCAAGACTTCCAACCTCCAAGACGACCCAGGAAGGCCAACAAGGCCACCTGCATCTCGCAATACTTGCCTCAATCGGGTCACCCAGCAGCACCCGAGAAGGCCCCAATCCGAGCCGATGGGGCGCCAAGAAGCTTCTAAGACACCAGAGGAAAGGCCAAGTGGCATTCCCGCAAGGCCGCCATGATTTAACAATTGACTGAAATTCGCAGGATTATGACAAATGCGGTTCCTGTTCCTCCCAGCTCAACGATGCTCCGAGGTGGCACTCGAGGAGCCATAAGGGAGCCAAGCGACCCCAGTGAGAGACCCCTCAGAACCTCCACCAGACAGCTCAAGAGGGGCCCAGGACAGCCCCGAGAGGCTTACAATACAGCCCCAAGAAATTCCACAGACGGCCAAACAAGACCCAAGACGGCACCAAGACGCCACAAGACAGCCCCAAGACAGCCCTAGATAGTCCCAAACAAGACCCAAGACGGCGCCACAAGAGCCCAAGACAGCCCCACGGCGGCACGGGTACAGTCAACCCGTATGACTTCGACGCACGGTAAGGATGGCCTTGGAAGGCCATGTCGACAATTTGCGAGCGGGGCGCGGCCAGCGAAAGCGGCCAAGGATGGGTCGAAGGGAAAGGATGCAAGGTATCCTTGGAAAGTTGCTCATCCTTACTCTGCGGGTTGACTGTAAGCCTCAAGAACACCCCCAGACGCAAGGAGTAGAGGCGAGGAGTGCTACATGTTCAAGCCGTCTGAGCGTCACCGCACTGAGTGCTGCGCTGCAACGGTTTCAGAACTTCCACAGGCAGCGGAAGATCCTTCTCAAGATAGCGTTCTCGACCCTTCCTCTCATCCTGATCCTCGCCCTAGTCGTCTATATCCTTCTCGTTGTCCTGGTCCTTGTGTATTCCTTGTGATCATCGCCCCCGTCCACGGCGTCGTTCACTTTTTCGTTGGTCCAAATACTCGCGCAACCCTCGTTCCCGACGTTCGCCCCCCTCTCCTCCTCCTGCTCCTCCTGCTCCTCCTCCGCCTCCTCCTCCTTCTCCTCCTCCTCCTCCTCCTCATACTTCTTCTCATTGTCGTTCCAGCCCTCGTCGACATCGTCTCGTCGTCGTCGTGATCGACGCCGACACTGAGTCACCGCCGCCGTCGTCGCCGCCGTCGTCAACGTCGCCATGGCCGCCATCGTCCCTACAGTCGGCGTTGTCATTGCCGCCGCCCAGCCCAAACCCACTCAAAACCCATCCCTGGGTCCCTTCTGGGGTCCGACCTGGCTCAGTTGTTCTAGCTGCACCCAGCGGTGGCGACGAGACCATCCACGAACGCTACGAAAAAAACACCATACCCTGGAGCTCGTCCTCGATCTCGTCCGCACTTCCCGGGCCTACCCTGGCCAATGCTTCGAGCTGCATCGCCGCGTCCGTCCACGAGGACAAGCCTCCCCAAGGTCCCACAGTCACCCTCAGGTCTCCCCAGAAATCTGGCACCGTGCTCTTGTCAGCACGGGGCCCCCAGCATTCCCGAACCTTACCCTCGGGCCAGCTTCTCATCCCGCGCCGTCTTGCTGGCGGCCCCAGCCCCTAGAGATGACCGGCCTGATTGGTTGAAGGCGTTGGAGCTCCATGCCGTCCGCAAGTCGGACGAGTGACTCTATGCAAGAACAGCGTCCTTTGGAGCGAGGCTATGGAACATCACACGTGTTGTATTACGACTTGTGGTTGCCAAAGAAAACGTGTGGGACAACATACATTCTCTTATATCAACCAATAGTCATACCCAAACGTTTGATGATCCATATATGTATGACTACTGTCTTTTTTGGCGGCCAATAATCATGCGACACTGTACCTCTGGGCACGGAGTGGACGTGTCCTCAGGTCCTTTGCCTAATCCACTATGCCTCAATCCTCACTCCCGAGGGACCCAAGACGGGACTAAGAGGGACCCAAGACGGGCCAAGAGGACCCTAAGTGGCCCCGAAGGCGGCCCAAGAGGGCCCCAAGTCGCCGAAAGATCGGCCCAAGACGTTCAAGATGGCCCCCAGACGGCCCACGAGGCATCCAAGACGCACAAAGGGGCCTCCAAAAGGTCTCCCACGAGGACCCCAAGAGGCCCAAATCATTGATCGTCCTTCGGTTCTTGAAACATTTTGGCGTTCTCGCCTTTGCGGCTTCCCGAAGCTCCCAGACTGCCACAGAGGCCCTCAAGACCGCCCCAAGACGGCCCAGGAGGCCTCCAAGAGGGCCCCAAAAAGGCCCAAGAGGGCCCAAGACGGCCCATCAACATGAGCCCAAAAGAGAGAACATGAACCGACAATCCTAGCTTTCCGCCCCAAGAGGCCCCCAGGAGGCCCCTAGAGGCGCCAAGGAGGCCCCACGAGGCCCGCAAGAGCCCCCCAAGAGGCTCTAAGAGGCCCCCAAGAGACAAAAGAGGTCCCAAGAGGCCTAGAAAACCTTCTACTGACTCCAAGAATCCCCCGAGAGGCCTCCCTCAAGATCCCAACGAACATCCAATAGGCTTCATGCCCACGACCCAGGCACGGTGGCGGGGTGGGCCGAAGGCCATTCTATCCGCCGCCCCCTGTTGGCTTGCCACAGGGAAGCCCGACGTGCTAGACCATTTCGGTTTTGGTTTCGGTTCTTTTTCCAAAAGAACCCCCCCGTGGGGCTTCGGCCCGTCCCGCCGGCCACCCAGAAAGATCTTTCAGCTTGCCCAGAGGTGGTTGCCAATGGTTTGTCCTGCTCCAGACGGCTCCAAGACGGCCCAAGATGGCCTCCAAAACGCCTCCAAGACGACCAACATGGCCTCCAAGACGGCTCGGATGGCCCCAAGATGCCTCCAAGATGGCCCAAGATGCCTCTAAGACGGCCTCAGATAGCCTCAAGATGGTTCAAGACGGCCCAAGAGGCCCCCAAGAGCCCTCCAAGACGCCTCCAAGAGGTTCTCAAGGAGAGCCCGAAGAGGCCCAAAGTATGTGTTTTCCATTGGTATTTGAAGGATTTGGGCATTTGTTTCTTTTCGGCCATCCGAAGCCCTCAAGACGGCCGAAGAGGCCCCCAAGATCGCCCCAAAACCGCTCACGAGACCTCCAAGATGGCCCCATGACGGCCCAAGAAGCCCCCAAGAAGGCCCCAAGAGGGCCCAAGACGGCCCCAAGAGGCCTCCAACACGGCGAAGCCGAAGCGCCCTAAGATAGCCCCAAGTGGGTTCAGAGAGGCCCCCAAGACGGCTCCCGACGGCGTCCGTCAGACGGGCCAGGAACGCCATAAGACGACCAAAAAAGCCCCCGAGAAGCACCAAAATGACACATGCGGCCCTCAAGAGGCCCCAAGAGAGCCCAAGATAGCCCCAACATGGTCTCCAAGACGGTCCCAAGACCCAATCGAGCCCAAGAGTGCCTCAAGAGGCTCCGAAGAGGCATCCTCCCCCTTCCTACTTGTTCCAGCTTCTCCTCCTCCTCCCCTTCCTCCCCCCCGCGTTCCCCGAAACCTTTCCAAACCGACTGGGGGAACACATGGTCCGATAGCTTGGCCGAGCTCTAGCCCAGCTGTCGGTCGGACACATAGGCGCTTCCACAAGGGCAGGGGGCGGCGGTGATTCGCCGTAGGCGTCTTCGATAAAAATACGTGTAATGTCCCATCATGGTTTCCAGAATTCGCCGGCCCAACGGGCCAGAGGCGTGCTAAGATCTCCGGTAACTGGTTAACAATTTTCTAGTTCGCGCGCGCGGGGCGGCCCCTGGGGGTCCCCGGACGAAAAGTACCCCGACCAGGTCCCGGCCGGTCCCCGGCCGGGTCCCGGCCGGGTCCCGGCCGGGTCCCGGCCGGGTCCCGGCCGGGTCCCCCCGAGCGCTCCATGAGCGCACCAACAGGGCTCCGAGACGTCCCCGAGAGCCCCAAGAAAGGCCAAGAGGCCCCCAAGAGGCCCCCAAGATGGTACACGAGGGGTCCGACATGCCACAAGATCGCTCCAAGACGCCCAAGATAGCCCCCAGACGCCCCAAGAGGCCTCCAAGAGCACTCCCAATAGGGCCCCCGGAGGCAAAAATCATTGTTTTTCCATAGGTTTTTGAGAGATTTTGGAGCTTCCACCTTTTCGGCTTCCCGACGCCCCAAGACGGCCCAAGAGGCCCCCAAGATCGCCCCAAGAGGGCCCAAGAGGCACCCAAGAGGGCCCCAAGATGGCCCAAGAGGGCTCGAAGACGGCCCAAGAAGCCTCCAAAACGGTCCAAGAGGGCCCCAAGAACGCCCCCAAAGGGGCCCCAGAGAGGGAACACGAAACAACATTTCGAGCCCTCGGCCCTAAGAAGCCCCTACGAGGCCCCTAAGAGGCCCCAAGAGGCCCCCACGGGGCCCTCAGGAGGCCCCCAAGAGTCCCCCAAGCGGCCCCAGGAGGCCCCCCAAATGCCCCCCCGAGCGCCCCAGGAGTGCCCCAAGCGGCCCCAGGAACCCCCAAAGCGCCGCATTGACACCAGGCCCTCGGGCAAACGGCAGACATGAGACTGTATGGGCCGGCGGAATGAGCGAAGCGATTAAATAACCGATTATAGTTTCTTAAGTAATCATATGTCTCATACACGCCATATATATATATATATACATAATTATGTATGTATGAATATAATATATAATATATATATATATATATATATATATATATGTACGTGAAAAATGCGTGTTCTACCGCTGCTGGCGGAAAGCCAGGGGGTCACTGGGGGTTCCCAACCCGTCCCCTCCTCGAAAACTGGGGGGGGGTCAATACCAGTTCGAGCCCCCCCCCCGGTCCATCATGAAAAGCGTTCGACCCCTCCCCGTCCTCACCGCAGGCAAACGACCCCCACTCCTCGGGGCAGTGGGACAGTGGTGAGGACGGTGGTGGTGGGGACAGTGGTGTGGGGACATTGGGACAGTGGTGGCGACAGTGGGGACAGTGGGACAGTGGTGGGGACAGTGGGGACAGGTGATGAGGGGACAATGGGATCAGTGGTAGGGACAGTGGGGACAGTGGGACAGTGGTGGGGACGGTAGTGGTGGGGACAGTAATGAGGGCGGTGGTGAGGACGGTGGTGGGAGAATGCGACAGTGGTACAATTGGAAGAGTGGTGGGGACAGTGGGGACAGTGGGACAGTGGTGGGGACAGTGGGGACAGTGGGACAGCACAGTGCGACAGCGGTGGGGCCAGTGGGGACAATGGGGCAGTGCTGGGGACAGTGGGGATAGTGGGAGAATGGTGAAGACAGTGGGGACAGTGGGGAGAGTGGGACCGTGGTGGGGACAGTGGGGACAGTGAGACAGTGGTGGGGACAGTGGGACAGTGGTGGACAGGACAGTGGTGGTTGGGGCAGTGGCGGGGGGACAGTGGGACGGTGGTGGGGACAGTGGGGGCAGTGGGACAGTGGTGGGACGGTGCTGGTGACAGTGGGGGCAGTGGAGGGACAGTGGGGGCAGTGGGACAGTGATGGGATCGGTGGGACAGCTCAGTGGGACAGGGGCGGGGACAGTGGGGACAGTGAGACAGTGGTGGGGACAGTGGGGACAGTGGGACCGTGGTGGGGACAGTCGGGACAATGGGGAGAGGGGGACCGTGGTGGGGACAGTGGTGGGGACAGTGGGGACAGTGGGACAGTGGTGGGGACGGTGGTGGTGGGGACAGTGGGGACAGTGGTGGGATCAGTGGGACAGTAGTGGGGACGGTGGTGGTGGGGAAAATGGTGAGGGCGGTGGTGAGGACGGTAGTGGGGACCCGGGAGTCGGTTGCCGGCGGCGAAAGGGGGGGCGGGGTCGGGGTTGATTCAGTAGTGACCCCACCCGGTTTTCTGGATTGGGGGGGGGGTCGAACCAGTAGTGACCCACCCCGGTTTTCCGGAGGGGGGAGGGTTAACGAGGGAGGGTTTTGCCAGGGGAAGGGAAGGGGGGGGGTTCAACCAGGGCGGGGGATTTTCGGAGGGGGGGGATCCACGGGTTCCGGAGGAAGAGAGGGGGTAATGTTCTTGAGTAAGGCGGCGGTGGATCACGCTCTGTCACACACACACATACACACACATATATATATATATATATACATATGGGTGTGTATATATATATATATATGCATACAGTCATTCGTACATCATACATACATGCATACACAAGCACATGCAGGATTGTATGCATGCATACATGCATGAATTTGCATACATACATGCATACATACAGGCATACATACATACCTATATACATACACACATACGTACATACATACATACATGCATGCATGCATACATTCATACATGCATACATGCATACATGCATACCTGCATACATGCATACCTGCATACCTGCATACATGCATACATGCATACGTGCATACATGCATACATGCATACATGCATACATGCATACATGCATACAGACAGGCAGGCAGGCAGGCAGACAGGCAGGCAGGCACATATATACACCTATACATACATACATACATACATACATACATACATACATACATACATACATACATACATACATACATACATACATACATACATACATACATACCCACATACCCACATACCACCCTACCTACAGACATACATACGTACATACATACATACACACATGCATACGCTACATCGCATTAAGGCATGCATGCATACATACATGTATGTATACATATATGCACGCATGCATGACTGATTTACAAAAATAGATACACCTAGACATGTACGCACGCACAGACAGACATACAGTCGGACAGACGGGCAGACAGACAGACAGACACACAGACGGACAGACTGCCAGGCATGCATACATACATGTATACTCACCTATATGTATGTGTACATCTACATGTGTATGTCATTTTCACTGAAGGGGGATATTTTACAAAGCAAGGAAAGCGAAACCAACAAATCAACAAACAAACAAACAAACGGCAACAACAACGCCTTATGTTCCACATGGGCGGGGCCAGAACCCGAGGGCAGAAGGCCGCTTGCAGCGCACCGCACTCGGCAACCGGGGGGCCCCAGCTCGGGTGAGCCGAGTAGGGGGGCCGGGACGGGGAGGGGGGGCAGGGGACCTACCGAGAGAAGAGAGGGGGGCCGTGGGCTCAGGGAGATGTGCGGGCCCCTGGCCATGGTATCGTGGACGAGAGGGGGGGGGGCCAGGGGACGAGAGGGGGGGGCCCACGAGTTCAGGGAGACATCTGGGCCCTGGCCAAGAGATATCCACACGCCCAGTCCTCACCCCGCTCCTCGACGCCCACGACCAGTGGGCCTCCACCAAAGGCCATTCTGGCGAAGAATGCCTCAAGCAAAACGACGAATAAGGAACAGCAAACAAAGCTGACCTAGACAACATCAAAGAAACAAGGAGCATCTAGGAAAACCACTCAACATCAATATTATGGAAAAAGCAATTCAATCAGAAGGACATCATCCGACCCAGACCAACATCAAGGAAAATCACTCAAACAAAACATGACAACAAAGCCGACCCAAATCCAACGAACGGCCCACGACTCACGGCCCCTCCAGAGCCCAAAGAGGCCCTTACCGCAGCGTCTTGACTGTAGCCGGAAGTCGGAGCAGGGCGACTTGAGTCAATGGCAGCTCAGGATCGGTTCCAGGACCCCTCTGGGGCCTAAACGCGCCAATTTTCCGAGCTGCGCCAAGCTGTGACGATGAGGGGTCCCCCCGAAGGCCAACTACAGTCGATGTACTTCCCAGGAACGTCAAGCAAGGAGCGAAGCCCCTCCTTGGCCACACAAGCGCCCAGGTGCACGAGGAGGGCCAGATGAACGACCAGGGAACGACCTCCAGAGCAGCGGGTCCCTTCCGAGCCCAAAGTGAATCTTATACTAAGCGCCCTGATGGTACTGCTGCCTAAGCTCGCCCTCCTCAGAGAACGTCCCTCTTAGTAGAAACAACAACCACACAAACATAAACTGTTGGCGCTCCGCGCAGATGTCTTGGATTCGCGCTGAACCCCCCCCTCCCTGGCGCGCGGAGCGCGCCGGGGGCGGCGAGGCGCCGCCGGGGGGGCCCAGGCGCGGATCCAAGAAATCCGCGCGGAGCACGTTTATGTGCTTTTGCTCTTCTTCGCCCTCTGGCGAAGGGCCACTCAGACATGCAGCCCAGGCCGAGAAGCCCCCGCACACCGGGAATGGGGGGCGCTCCGAGGCAGCACGGCCTGCGAGTCCGAGGCGGCGGGCTGCAGCTGCCGCCGCAGCTCGTCCACCTCCAGGCGCACGTCGCGCACCTCGTTGGGGAGCACTCCGGCTCGCATTTGGCACCGACGACGCCGCCGCCGGCGACGGCGGCGACGGCGGCGGCGCCGCCGCCCTCGATGCCCGCCGCGGGCGGGGCCAACGGGGCCGCGTCGGGGGTCTACTGACCCGGATCTCCAAACCCGGGTCAGCCAGGCTGGGCAAGATCCTGCAGGATCCTGCACCCAAACCCGGGTCAATAATGTGCCCTGGCTCTGCAGGATCCTGCAAGATCCGTCGCTCTGACTGACCCCCGTGTGCATTGACCCCCGTCTCTTAAGCCCCGACCGCGGTCGCCGCCGCTGCCGCTTGCACTGAGGCTGCCGCCGAAGCTGCCGCCGCTGCTTGGCACGGCGGCGGCGGCGGCGGCGTGGGAGATCCAGCCCAGGTGCAGTCCAGGTCCTGGCCAGGAGGCCCCCCCCCCGGTCCACGGCCGCTGGGAAGGCGCAGGGGCTGCAAGCAGCTCGTGGACGTGTGCGCGGGCATACTGGCCCTCGCCTCCCGCAGGAGGAGAGAGGAGGGAGAGAGGCACCCGTGAGGCCGAGCAGCGTTACTGGCGTCTCCAGCATGGGGAGGCTCTAGCGAGCCGTGGCGGGACTGAGGGAGCCACTTGCGCAGTCCCCTTGTCCTCTGGGTACGGATCTCTCAGCTGACACACAGTAGGTGAGGGGCAGGAGGAGGAGGAGGAGGAGTAGATTATGGTTGCAGGAGCGGAGGAGGAGTGAATGGAGGAGGAGATATGATTGAGTAGGAGTGTTATTAGGAGGAGGAGGAGTAGGAGGATGAGTGAGTAGAAGCAGGTCCAGCGGATGGAGGAGTATGGATGAGGCGGAGAGTTTGTAAATGATGCTGATGAGTTGGTGAGGAGTGAGCATGACGTTATGTTCGTAACGGATGATGGACGTGAGGTGAGGCGTTATGCTTGATTCTGGTCTTATTTGATATTGCGGATGTATTATGTCGTATGTAGTAGGGATGCGGTCAGATTAGAGGAGATTATACCTACCATGAGTACTTGTCTCTGACTTATATATGCTTATTTATTCTCTCTTTTCTTTGGAAGTAGACGAATCCACTCGCACTTCAACGCAGGAGCGCGTTGCACAACTGTCCACATGTCCGTGCTGGGGAGTCTCACTTGTACTCACGGTAATCCACCCACGATGTCACAAAACCAACAACAATGATATCTTTAGTGTTTTCTTCGGATACCCTCATCTGAGCTTCGCTGTTCCGCCTTCTCTGCCAAACCAAGATTTGCCTTTTTTTTTTCCGCCACCCACCACCAACCACCACCACCCCACCACCCACCATAAGAAAAGAAATTATGGTGAGGGTCCTTCCCTCCTCCTTCCTCCTCCTCCTCTTCCTCCTCCTCCTCCCACCTCCTCCTCCTCCTTCTTCTCCTTCCTTCGTCCTCCTCCTCCTCCTCCTCCTCCTCCTCCTCCTCCTCCACCTCCTCCTCCCTCCCTCCTCCCCCTCCTCCTCCTCCTCCTCCTTCCTCCTTCTTCAACTATCTCCACTCCTCCTTCTATCCTCCCTCCTCTTCCCTCTTTCCTCCTCCCTTACTCCTTCCCCTCCCCTCCTCTTTCCTCCCTCCTCTCCCTCCATCGTCCTCTCCTCCTCCTCCTCCTCCTCCTCCTCCTCCTTCTCTTTGTCTTCTTCTTCGTCTTCTTATTCTCCTTATCCTTCTTCTTATTATTCTTCTTCTTCTTCTCATTCTTCTTCTTCTTTTTCTTATTAGTATTCTTCTTCTTCTTCTTATTATTATTATTATTAGTATTAGTCTTCTTCGTCTTCTTATTATTATTCTTCTTATTATTATTCTTCTTATTCTTATTATTATTTTTCTTCTTATGATTCTTCTTATTCTGCTTCTTCTTATTCTTCTTATTCGTCTTCGTATTCTTATTATTCTTCTTCGTCGTATTATTATTATTCTTCTTCTTATTATTCTTATTTTTATTCTTCATCTTCATCTTATTATTCGTCTTATTATTATTATTATTCTTCTTCTTCGTCTTCTTCTTATTCTTATTATTATTATTATGCTTCTTATTCTTCTTATTCGTCTTCGTCTTCTTCTTCTGCTTCTTCTTCTTATTATTATTATTATTCGTCGTCTTCTTCTTCTTCGTCTTCTTCTTCTCTTCTTCTTCTTCTTCTTATTATTATTATTATTAGTAATATTATTCTTCTTCTTATTAGAATTGTTCTTCGTCTTCGTCTTCTTCCTCTTATTATTCTTCTTCTTCTTCTTCTTTTTCTTCTTCTTATTCTTCTTATTATTATTCTGCTGCTTCTTCTTCTGCTTCTTCTTCTTCTGTGTATTCTTTTTCTTCTTCTCCTGCGTCTTCTTCTTCTTCGTATTCTTATTCTTCTTCTGCTTCTTCGTCTTCTTCTTCTTCGTCTTATTCGTCTTATTATTCTTCTTCTTTTTAGTCTTCTTCTTCTTCTTATTCTTCTTCTTCTTCGTCTTCGCCTTCTTCTTCTTCTTCTTCGTCTTCTTCTTCTTATTATTCGTCTTATTCTTCTTTTTCTTTTTCTTCTTATTGTTCTTCTTCTGATTCTTCTTCTTCTTCCTTATTATTATTCGTCTTATTATTATTATTATTCTTATTCGTAGTCTTCTTCGTCTTCTTCTTCTGATTATTATTATTCTTATTCTTCTTCTTATTATTCTTATTATTCTTCGTCTTATTATTATTTTTCTTAGTATTATTCTTCTTATTCTTCTTATTATTCTTCTTCGTTTTCTTATTATTCGTCTTATTATTCTTCTTATTCGTCTTCTTATTCGTAGTATTATTCTTCTTATTCTTCTTATTATTATTCTTCTTCTTCATATTCTTCTTCGTCTTCTTCTTATTATTCTTCTTATT